TCTCTCTCAACTGATGACATCAAAAAACTGGTTCATGCACTCGTCTTCTCAAGACTAGAACTATTGCAATGCACTCCTCTCCGGTTCTCCCAGCCAAATCCATCAACCGCTTGCAACTTGTCCAGAACAGCAAAGCCAGAGTTCTCACCGGTACAAAAAGGTCCGCACACATAACCCCCATACTTGCAAAACTACACTGGCTCCCAGTCCACTACAGGATCCAGTTTAAGGTTCTGCTCCTCACGTACAAAGCCCGGAATGGACAAAGCCCAAAATACCATCTGTGACCTCATCCATACCCAGACATCTACCCGCTCTCTCCGCTCCAGCCACGCTCCTCTTCTTCACATCCCCCGCACACGTCTCCGAACAATGGGAGACCGAGCCTTCTGCTCATTCGCCCCGCGCCTCTGGAACTCCCTCCCAGATCAGCTGAGATCTGCCCCTTCCACCGAGGTCTTCAAAAACCGGCCTTAAGACCCTCTTCTTTCGGCAGGCCTTCCAATAAACTTTGAGCATGGTACACCTGGAGTATTGCCATTTTTATCGCTATCTCCGACTTTTACTTTTGTACGCTATTTTATTTTTTATTTTTTGATTTCTTATTATTATTACAATTATTTGTTTAATCTCTCAAAGTGTATCAATATCCCTTGTTGTGAAGCACTTCGAGATTTGTCTTGGCAGATGAGAAGTGCTATATAAATTAAATGTATACATCTTATCTGCAGCATTGTCTGTTCTGGAGCTGACTGTGTGTTGGAATGCCTTAAGAAAAGATCTGAAGTCGAGCAGGTCACCATAAAAAACAGGAATATCACGCTGTGGGAGAAGGGCGAGCTGCTGATGTTTCACAAGCATTTCTGTTATATCAGTCTGCTTCTTGATTACTTTGCATATGTCCTTTTCATAGTCACTTTGTCGCTGATGTGCCCCACTGGCTAATGTACTTGAGTCCAGAGCCTTTGGTGCTTTAGGTCTAGCTCCAGGTGCTGAAATAGACCTATCTGATGGGTTTACATGACTGCTTGGGATTAGTGGATGGCTGTGTCCTGCTTGCTCTTGTGTGTCTTCTTTCTGCCGTGTGTTTGCATTGTCCAAATACGTGTTCATTGCATCGCTCTTATCCTGTGCGTCATACTCTTCATACATTCTAATTTTAGCATTTGACACTGCTAAGGCTGTTTTAATTTTCAGCTCTTCTTTCTCAGCCCGAAGATGTGCCTCCTCAACTGCCAAGACTTTGCTTTAGCGAGGCAGCCTTGGCTTCCAAAGCTGCACGCTTTACTTCCTCTCTTAGTCGTGCTGAGGATGCTGTTGAAGCGGATGAAGCCCTGCTAGCTCTACTGGATCTTGACACCACAGATACACTGTCCTTATGAGAAACATCATCATTGCAGGCTTGTGGTATTTCTTTGTAATGTTCATCACAATTAATCCACACATCAGCTTCATTAATAAAGTCCTGAAACCTCTGAGATTTAGGCTCAAACCAGCTCTCTTGATCATGGCTCTGTTCTTCTTCATTCATAAAAAGCACAACTGAGCAGTTACAGTCTTTAAAACTCCTCAAATATTGCCTTGAAATGTTTCATCTTTGAGATAACTTCCATCAAGTTACAGGTGTTGCCCATTAAAGGCTCAACTTCATTCATTTTGGCAGTGAGTTGTCTTAATTTACCTCTCCTTGCATTGATGCAGAGCTGTAGCCGCTGCTCCATGGCCTTTTCCGTTGGTTTTGCTGCCCTCTTGTGGGCGTCGACCGTAAATGCACCCTCAGTGGCGCTGTCCTCCGACATTATTCAGCCGGTTTGTCTGAACAAAAGACAACAGCTGTTTTACCAAGTGGCTCGAACTCCAATGAAAGGCATGCAGAGTAGCGTGACAGCCTGCAGTCCATGTCCACACGGTAGAGGATAATCCAAATGGTCCCTTGGCCCAGTAGCCACGATCAGATCCACTTTGTTTCTGCCGCAGCTCCAGTAGCCACGATCAGATCCACATCCGACAATTCCAGTGATAGTAGTTTCCTACACGCTAGTAATCCTCACGACGTTGTCGGAAGTTTTTGACTTACTGTAATGGCCAATTGTCCAAAGAAAATGAATGCTCAAAGGCCACTTAGTCTAGGAGGCGAGCTCGAGTATTGACTCGCGTATATTCAAGAAACCAGATACCTTGCTTGTTCCATTCAGGTGCTTTATTGAAAGGTTCCATCAGATGGCGGCCCACTGCCGACGTGCAACGTTTGCACGGTATTTAAAACAAATAAACAAACAAGATTCCTGGTCATACGGATGTGTGCGTTCAAAAACTTTTTCCAACTTCCTCTCTAGACTTCCTGCTGTGTCATGCTGGCAGCGTCATTTATACCTGAGCACGCCCCTCCTATTGCTTTGTATAAATAATAACAAACATAAACTAGAGCTGTCCATAAGCAAGATGACACGTTACAAAAACAGTATAATAGTAATTCATAATTATTCAGCTCATTTAAGTTAAATTAAAGAATATTCAATTGGCTCACAAAACCATAATTCATTACCATAAAATAATGTGCCTAAATGGCTCTTACACCCCCCAAAGCCCCTCCTCCCTCTTGGACCCCCCCAAAGCCCCTCCCCCCTCCTCCCTCCTGGACCCCCCCAAAGCCCCTCCCCCCTCCTCCCTTCTGTCAAGCGACTTTGTTACCCACTTTGAAAAAAAGGTTGATGATATTCGCTCTTCTTTTTCTGACTCACCTCTACTCACCGCTGGGTCACCAGACCTTCCTTCCACCAACACACTTACCTCCTTTTCCCCTCTCTCTCCAAGTGAGGTTCTTACCCTCATTACCTCTGCCCGTCCTACCACCTGTCCTCTGGACCCTATCCCTTCAAACCTCCTTCAGACTATCGCTCCTGATATTCTACCGTTTCTCACCCATTTCATTCATCAACACTTCTCTAACTTCTGGTCACTTTTCCAAACAGTCTCAAGGAGGCAAGAGTAAACCCTCTCCTAAAGAAACCCACTCTCAACCCGTCTGATGTTATAAACTACAGGCCTGTCTCTCTCCTCCCGTTCCTGTCTAAATCACTTGAACGCGCTGTCTTTAAACAACTCTCCTGTTATCTCCATCAGAACAACCTTCTGGATCCGCACCAGTCTGGTTTCAAGGCAGGTCACTCCACAGAAACTGCCCTCCTTGCTGTTTCTGAGGAACTGCACACGGCTAAAGCAGCCTCCCTCTCCTCTGTCATCATCCTGTTGGACCTGTCTGCTGCATTCGACACGGTGAATCATCAGATCCTCCTTCGCACTCTCCAAGAACTTGGAGTTTCAGGCTCTGCACTTTCCCTCCTCACCTCATACCTCAAAGACCGTACCTACAGGGTTACTTGGAGAGGGTCCGAGTCCAACCCTTGTCAATTAACTACAGGGGTCCCTCAGGGCTCTGTTCTTGGTCCCCTCCTTTTCTCCTTGTACACCAACTCGCTCGGATCAGTCATTAGCCCGCATGGTTTTTCATACCACTGCCATGCTGACGACACCCAACTAATTATGTCCTTTCCCCGCTCAGAGACCCAGGTCGTCGCACGCATCTCTGCTTGTCTAGCTGACATCTCTCAGTGGATGTCTGCTCATCACCTCAAACTCAACCTTGACAAGACTGAACTGCTCTTCCTCCCGGGAAAAGATTGTCCAACTCTTGACCTGACAATCAACATCGGCACCTCAGTTGTTTCCCCGACTCAGACTGCAAGGAATCTGGGTGTGACCCTAGATAACAACCTGTCCTTCACTGCAAACATCGCTGCTACAACCCGCTGCTGCAGATACACGCTTTACAACATCAGGAAGATACGTCCCCAGCTGACTCAGAAAGCGACTCAGGTTCTGGTCCAGGCTCTCGTCATCTCACGCCTAGACTACTGCAACTCCCTCCTGGCTGGTCTGCCTGCATGTGCCATCCGACCTCTGCAGCTCATCCAGAATGCAGCGGTTCGTCTGGTCTTCAACCTTCCTAAATTCTCCCACACCACTCCGCTCCTCCGCTCCCTTCACTGGCTTCCGGTAACTGCTAGAATCCACTTCAAGACACTGGTACTTGCTTACCGTGCTGCGAATGGATCTGGCCCTTCCTACATCCAGGACATGGTTAAACCGTACACCCCAGCGCGTGCACTACGCTCTGCATCAGCCAAACGACTCGTTGCGCCCTCGCTGCGAGGGGGACCCAAGTTCCCATCGGCGAAAACACGTGGGTTTGCTATCCTGGCTCCAAGATGGTGGAATGAGCTCCCCATTGACATCAGGACGGCAGATAGCTTGCACATCTTCCGGCGCAAACTGAAAACTCATCTCTTTCGACTCCACTTCGAGCGTTAGAACGATTAACGAAGCACTTTTATACCAATAAAGGACTGGATTACCTAAAGCCAGTTGAGTAGCACTTGAAATGTTTGGCTCTATGAAACCTGATGTACTTTATGATTCTGTTTTCTTCAAGGTTGTGTCTTCCTGGTCGAATGTACTTATTGTAAGTCGCTTTGGACAAAAGCGTCAGCTAAATGCAATGTAATGTAATGTAATGTAATGTAATGGATTAGACTCAGAGGAACTGGATTAGACTAAGAGGAACTGGTTTAGATTTAGAGGAACTGGTTTAGACTCAGAGGAACTGGATTAGACTCAGAGGAACTGGTTTAGACTTAGAGGAACTGGTTTAGACTTAGAGGAACTGGTTTAGATTTAGAGGAACTGGTTTAGACTCAGAGGAACTGGATTAGACTCAGAGGAACTGGTTTAGACTTAGAGGAACTGGTTTAGACTTAGAGGAACTGGTTTAGACTCAGAGGAACTGGATTAGACTCAGAGGAACTGGTTTAGATTTAGAGGAACTGGTTTAGACTCAGAGGAACTGGATTAGACTCAGAGGAACTGGTTTAGACTTAGAGGAACTGGTTTAGACTTAGAGGAACTGGTTTAGACTCAGAGGAATTGGTTTAGACTCAGACCTGTGAGGCCAGCAGCTGCTTGGTGTAATAATCCGGAGGCAGGATGTTCTCCACCACGGCCACCAGACACCAGAATGCCTCCTCCTCGCTCTGAAGGACCAGCAGGGCCAGAGCCGCCAGCCTGAGGAACAGTTACATGACATGTCACATGACATGCTACGTCACATGTCTCTCTCTGGCCGTTTCTCAATCGCGAGTACACCTGCTGCAGAGCAACTATTTCAAGTATACTCCGTCATCGAGTGGCGCAGAATGCTGGGCATTTAAACAGTCCTTCGGTGCCACTCGATGACGTAGTATACTTGAAATAGTTGCTCTGCAGCAAGTTTACTCGCGATTGAGAAACGGCCTCTGTTTCCGCACAGTGTCACAGAGGGGCCTCACCTGTGTCAAAGTAGGAACATGTCTTTACCTGTTGAGGCCCTGGCAGTAGCCAATGGCAGGGTTCTGCCAGGAGAAGGCCAATAGGACACGGCGCAGCTGCTGGAGGGCGGGGCTAGAGGGTGAGGAGAAGTGCTGATTGGTGGTCAGGGTGCGGTGGAGGTCCAGCTGGATCTGTCTGGAGGCGGGACAAGGAGACGCATCGCTTTTCTCACAAAGCTGGAAACACAGCAGCTGGTTAATCAGTAACATGTAATATAGTGTTACCTAACAACAGCTAGCTTGCAACAGCTAGTTGACAACCGCTAGCAGACAACCGCTAGCTCGCAACAGCTAGCTCGCAACAGCTGGCTCGCAACAGCCAGCTCACAACAGCCAGCTCACAACAGCCAGCTGACAACAGCTAGTTGACAACCGCTAGCTGACAACAGCTAGTTAACAACCGTTAGCTGACAATCGCCAGCTACCAACAGCTAGCTGACAATCGCCAGCTAACAATCGCCAGTTGACAACAGCTAGCTAGCTACCAACAGCTAGCTACCAACAGCTAGCTCACAACAGCTAGTTGACAACCGTTAGCTGACAATCGCCAGCTACCAACAGCTAGCTGACAATCGCCAGCTAACAATCGACAGTTGACAACCGCCAGCTGACAACAGCTAGCTAGCTACCGACAGCTAGCTACCGACAGCTAGCTTACAACCGCCAGCTGACAACCGCCAGATAACAATCGCCAGCTAACAACCGCCAGCGAACAACTGCCAGCTAACTGTAGCTAACTAACAACAGCTAGCACTCAGGAGCTGAAAAGTCCAGGTGTGTCAGGTGTACTTCCTGTGTACTTCCTGTGTACTTCCTGTGTACTTCCTGTGTACTTCCTGTGTACTTCCTGTGTACTTCCTGTGTACCTGTTGGTAGCGCTGTGGGTGGCGCTCCCTGGCGCTCCTGGTTCTGGCCCGGACCAGCCAGGTCCAGACCCGCTGCCGGTACTCCCGTGGGACGCCCCCCCGCAGCAGGCCTTTGAGCTCCGGGGAGGAACAGAGATCATTGCTGGACCTGCCGGCGAGGAACTGGGCCCAGCGACCAATCAGAGGCCGGTCTTCCCCATCCTGAGGGAACACAACAACCATCAGAACCACAGACAAACACAACAACCATCAGAACCACAGACAAACACAACAACCATCAGAACCACAGACAAACACAACAACCATCAGAACCACCAGCTCATCAGTCACATCATGTTCCCCACTCTGTATCATTAAACTGGTGTTAAACTGTATTAAATTATATATGTTTGATATTAATAGGACTGTATGACAGGTGTACAGTTGTACAGGTGTTACAGGTGTACAGGTGTTACAAGTGTACAGGTGTACAGGTTTTACAAGTGTACAGGTGTTACAAGTGTACAGGTGATACAGGTGTTACAAGTATACAGGTGTTACAGGTGTGCAGGGACCTGGTTCAGCAGGTTGTGGGAGCGGATCTCCAGCGCCTGGATCTTAGCGAGCAGTTTCATGTCCTCGACTTCATATTCAGGGACGATCTGGAAGCCGTACTCATCGTGATCTCTGAGGACAAAACATCATCAGAACCTTCCGTTACCCCCCACCCCACAGGTGTTCCTGTTACACCCCCCCCCCCCCCCCACAGCAGGGTTTCCGCTAGGATTTGTTCTCGCCGGTCAAATGTCCGGACAGAATTTATTTTACCGGACACATTTGAAACTTCCCGGTCATGTTTCAATAATAAGAATTGTGCAGCAGAGTTTCCGTTAGCAGGTCATCACCCGGACTCGGGACCGGATATGCTGATGTTTAAAACTCAGTTAATGGGAGTCATTTTTATATTGCTTCAGTTATAATCGCACATTTTTCAATAAATGATTCCACAAACAACAAACAACATAATTACTACATTCAAAGAAACTACTTGCAGTAGATGAAGTGCATAATTCAAAAGTTTACAC